TTTTTTTTTTTTTAATACTTTCAATACGTACTCGAATTTATCATCACGTGGTAAATTTTTTTTTAAAATTTAATTTCAATAAATATTTAAAAAGAAAATTATTATTATTATTATTATTAAATTTTATTGATTTGACAAACAAACAGTCAGAATTAGGAACAAAAAAAATATTAAATTAATTCGATTACCTATTAACAAAAAGAAAAAAAAGAAAAATTTTGGACTCGGATAAAGATGATAAAGTTTGTTGTTAATAAGCGGTCAGATCAATATCCGGTTTAAACTAAACCGGAGATGGAAAAGAGTTTGACAACGATAGACAATAATTAATTTTCATAAAAGTGATTGGAAAACCCTTTCTTTCTTTCTTTCTACAACAGAGAAAGACGAAACCTTTAGATAATTTAATTTAATTTTTATAATTTATACTCATATACATGTATATATTCATCAAATAATTCTATTTTCATCTCTTTAAGACCCTAAATCTCCACCGTTTTCCTCCCCTCCTCCTGCGCTATCCCTCCCTCCCCCTCTCGAAAAAACAAGAAAAGACCTCTTACACTTTCGTAAATTTTTTTTTTTTTGTTATATAATTTGCAACTAAAATTTTTTTTTTTGTAACATTTGTTTAAACGATCAATTAATTAAATGTCACAATTAAATGTTAACTCGAAAGGCTAAACAAAGTTACACAAAAACCAAAAATTCCTAGCAGACTACCCTCCCCCCCCAAAAAAAAAATAACAAAAAAAAAGAAGAAGAAAAACTTTTAAATAAAAACGTTTGAAAACCTTCTACGAATTTTTGGCTCAAATATTTTCTGGCACGAAACTATAAAACGCCTTTTTTATGTACTAATTTCTAAAGGTTGTAAATTTTTTTTTTCCTTTTTTTTTTCTTAAAAAAAAAAAAAAAAACACGTTGAGACGTAAACTCCCTTTCGCTCTCCTCAAAAAAAAAGATTCCCTGAAAAATTATTATTATTTCATTAAATATTATTATTTAAAAAAAAAAAAAAAATTAAATAAAAAATAGAGTAAAAAAATTAATTTTCCGACTAAACCTGTACCCCCGCCCCCAACGAAATAAACGTCATCGTTGTTCCATCACGGGTCCCCCTTGCATTCAATAATAAAAACATATCCGAAAAAAAAAAAAAAAATTAAAATACATTTCCCAAATGTGTTAATGATTTCATCATTACGCGTTATTATTAATTTTCATTCGACCAATAAAAATAAACGTGAAAAATTTCAACCAATCAGAATCCTCCGTTTGGGGCATTTAAAATTTAAATGTCCCAATTTTGTTTACATTTTGATTTCGCCATTCACGATTCGCATGGGATATGAAAAAAAAAAAAAAAAAAATTTCGACATTTTCGTTTTCATTTCGATTTTATTGTTTTTTTTTTTGTGACGAGTGTTCACACGCGTGTGCACGTGTCACTAAATCATATCAAACGTGAAAATTAATATTCAGAATTAAATTTAAATTTTTACAAACGGCAAAATAAACGACAAAAAAAAATTTTTACCAATTATTATCGTTATTAAAAAAGGTTTAATTAAATTCATTTTGATTTTTTCTTTCTTACTGTCATTCGAAATAATAATAATAATAATAATTAAAAAGAATACAGTTATTGTTTTTACTAATTAATGACGACGAAATGAAAAAATTCCGATTCGATTTAATAAACGTCAAAGGTCGAAGATTTGAACAAAAATTAAAGGAGAAAAGAAAACGACGACGTTAAAAAACTTGAATAATAATAATAATAAATTATAGGGAGAGGTAAAAAGAAAAGTTTTATTAAAAAAAAAAAAAATTTTCTTTTTTTTTTTTTTTTTGCTTTACTTTGTGTTTTATTTAACTTCACGGCCGTCACTTTCATATTTTGCCCTAAAGTCTAATTAAGTAAAAGATTTTTGAATTATATTTTTTAACTCAAAAAAGTTTTTGACAATTGTATAAAATTCTGATTGAATTTTGTTTTTTTTTGGGGAGGGGGTCAATTTAAAATCCGACATGTTGAAAAAAACTAAAAAAAATTAATTAATTATGTTAAATTATGTCGTTGATTAATTTATTCGCGACGTGTGAAAGGTAAACGGTGAGAAATTTAAATTTTTCTATTCTTTTTTTCTATAATTTTTTTTCCCGTTATATATAATAATGATAAAAAAAATTTTTTCATTTGATAAAATTTGTTTAGAGTAAAAGTTTTTAATTTTTCCTTTTTTTTTTTTTTAAAAATTTTCCGTTGGAAAAATAACGAAAAAAAAAACCTTTTTTTTTTTTAATCTAAAATTTTGCTTGATTTCATTCTGTCAATTTTCAAAATGAGATTTTTGATTACGATTAAAATGATGAAAGATAGAAAGTTAAAATTGATGACGTTTGTTTTCTCTATCTGTCTTTCTCTCTCATTCGAACGCCTCCAAAAAAAAAATACAAAAAAAAAGAAAGCAAAACGGAAAAAAAAAAAAAATTCGGAAGAAGAAGAAGAAAAGTTAAAAAAAAATTTAAATTTTAAGACAAAATCTATATATACTTTGGTGGAAATAAATGTTAAAATTGAAAAAAAAAAAATCTTCGTTTTTTGTTGTTGTCGTCGTCGTCGCCATCTTTGACGTCGTCGTCGTCGTCGTCGTGAATTGAATGCAAGCAAATAAATTTTTTAAAAAAAAAAAAGTCATTCGAAATCCTTTTTTTTTTTGCTAAATGTGAAAACGAAGGATGCGTGAATGAAAAGGATTCCGACACAAAGAAAAAAAAAGGGTTCGACCTTTTTTTTTATTAAAGTATTCGGCAAAATAATTAAACAGTGGCAGAAGAAGAAAAAAGAAAGCGTGTGAACTCATGAGTCGTTACGCCACGATGATAAGAGCAAAAAAAAAACTGATACTCGTTCATTATTATTTACCTTTTATTAAAAAAAAAAAAAATTACGCTCGAAAATATTTTCCTACTGCCAAGTCAAAAATAAATTAATAAAAAAATTTTTTCAATATATTTTCATTAAAGTTAATAAAAAAAAAAAAAAAAATAAATAAATAAATAAAAAAATGTCATAACCATTCCTATAAACAATACTTAAAACTTATTTTTAACGTTAAATTACAATTTTTTTTTTTCCTCATTCGGGTCCGTTTTTGCGGTCGTTTAATGGTGCTTCACCATATAACTTAACTAATATAGAGTTTTTTAATTTTTATCCATTCTTTCTCTCTCTCTTTCTCTCTCTCTCTTTCTATCTCTTTACTTTTTCAAGAGAACTCTTTAATCCGACGTGGATGGAAAAAAACTTTTCTAATCAACAATTTTTCTCTCTCTCTCACTTTTTATCATTAAATTTAGAATTTCATCCAAAGGGCAATATCTTTCCGGTTTCTGATTTTTAACGCCGAATCACTTCCTCCCTCCCTTCCTACCTCCACCTCCCTCCCACCCCTCCTTTTTTTTTTAAAAGTAAAAATTTGATTTTATTCGGTGCAAAAAAAAAAAAAAAAATTTACCGACGACGACGACGACGATGACGACCCTAAAGCATTATTAAGGTGATGAACTCCTGTCAGTAGAAAAAAAAAAAAAAAATTTATATATTTTTCTTCTTCTTCTTCTTCTTCCACTTTTTTCTTTTCTTTTTTTTTTTTTTTACTAATAATTCGTTTTAAGGTATTTTAAAAAATTTTCTTTCTTTCTTCCTTCATTTTTTTTTTATTTTTCTTCTAAAATTTTCTATTTTTCATGAAATTTTTTTTTCCCTTTTGAACTTAACAAAAAAATAAAAAACGTGTTCAAATTTCTCTTATTTTTTCTCTTTTTATTATTACTTTCGCATACACACACACACAAAAAAAAATTTACTACGAAAAATATAATAATGATGATAATAATAATAATAATAATAATAATAATAATAATAATAATAATAATAATAATAATAATAACAAGAAGGAGAATACGCACACAAAGCAACTTTTTTTTTTTAAAGTCTGAAAATTTAATTTTTCGCGCCAAAGAGTTTTCTACTACTCTTCTTGACTTTTTCTTCTTTTTTTTTTTAATATTGGTTTTCACGTATAAGTTAAACAGAATGAAAGAGAGAGGGACAGAGAGAAAGGGAAAGAGAGAGAGAGAGAGAAAATAAAAACTATTTTTCTTTTTTTTTTCCATTTCATTTTATTTTTATTTAAACTACAAAAGTGATGACGATGATGGCGGTGATGGGGGGAGGAGAGGGGGGGTGGAAGAAGAAGAAGAAAAAGGAAGTTGAAGAGGAAAGGTAAATACGTAAATAAATAAAAATATAAAAATGATTTTTTTTTTTTGTTGGCAGGAATAAAATTTATTCTATTCTATTTTTATTTTTAACGGTTATACGCACGCATTGCAGATGAAAATCATGTCAAATCAACAATTTTTTTTTTTTTATCAATTTACGTTTTTTTTTTTTTATATATGCACAAAGGAAAATAAGTTAAAGAGATGAACGATCAAAGGAACGAGATCAAAGGAAACTTTTTTTTCTTTATTCTTTTTTTTTTTACACACACATTCATAGAAAATAATATAGATTAAACTTTCTTTAAAAAAAAAATAAAACTTTTTTTATAATAAATTTTATAAAGACAAACAAACGAACAAACAAACAAACGAAATAATAAAACTAATGACGTCATCAATATCGAATATATTATTATTGCGCCAATAACAAAAAAAAAAGAAAAAAGTATTTTGCAAAATTTTTTGGTTTTTTTCATTACGCGCGGTAAATTTTATTTCGACAGTGACTCCATATTTAAAAAAAAAAAAAATAAGAAATGATAATGATAATGATAATGATAATGATAATGATAATGATAATGATAACGTAAAAAAAGAAAATTACAAAACTAAAATTGACAAATACGTTGGGTGGTTACTAAGGAGATATAAAAACTCAAAACGTGGCACAAACACAAGATACAAAAAGAAAATTCCATACGAAAATGTCATTTGTAAATTTATCACAACTTATAATATTATTATTATTATTATCATTTGGTTATTTGATATCGGGAAAACACGTGATCGAATATGAAAAATTAACAAATGAAAAAATTCATCAACCTTTTCACGATTTACAAACGGAAAATTCCAAACGTTTCGTTAATGATAAAAAAGGATTGAAGAAAATTCGTCGAAATTTTTACAAAATGGTGGAAAAAATTCAAACGGGTGAGTTTTTAAATATTTTATTTAAATATCCTTATGATTAATTAATTAATAAAAAAAACGACGCACACGCATAAATAAATAAATAATTTATGTATTTTAAGTTTAATAAGCTTTTTTTTTTTAAACTTTTTTTATTTAAAAAAAAAAAAAAAATTTTCTTATTAATTTTTTATACATAAGAAGAAAAAAAAAGGATGAAAAGAAAATTATTATCATTATTATTATTAAAAGAAGGAAGGAAGGGGAAGGGGGAGGGGAAAAGGGAGAGTTTTAATGGATGCTATTATAGTCATTAAGTTTTAACGACCTTATTAATTATATTAAATAAAATTTATTAATTATCATAAAAACGATGATTACGTAATTAAAAACTTTTATATTATTAATAAAATATTATATTTAATTTTTTTTCTTTTCGTTTTTTTCTTTTTTCGTTTCATTCACGAAAAGATATAAAGATTATGAAGATTATGAAAAAGGTGAAAGAGGACATTTTGTTAAAAATCATAAAGAAGATGATAGAAGACAAGATGGTGGTAATAAGAAAACGTATAGCGTGAAAGATGAACGGAGTCGTGAAGGACACCATTCGGAAAAGGGTGAAAAAGGTTACGAATATGAAGATGGTGGAGAATTTAGAAAAGTTCAGAAAACGAAAGGAGTACATACCGTACACAAAATAAACGAATATAAAAAAAAAATTGATTTTTTCGATGAGGATTTCATTGAAAACAATTATGAAAAACATGGAGGGAGCCTTGTTAACGCGAGGAAAAACGATGGCTCTCAATTTTATGAAATTCAACGACGATTTGATAAACAACAAAAGGAAATCAATGGAAAAAAAAATGAAAACGATGAAAAATTATTACGTCATCAATTTAACCGCGAAAATTATAAAAATAATAATAACGGTGGTGAATTTTATAAAATTTTCCAACCCGTTTTTAGTTTTTTTAGTTCGTAAAAAAAAAATTTCCTTTTTTTATTATCATCATTATCATCATCATCATCATCATCATCATCATCATCATCATTATTATCATTGTTATTAATTTTTAATATATATTTAATCAAATTATTTATCGTTTTGTTTCTTTTACTCTATTTGAACCAACTAAAGCTAAAAAAAAAAACTAACATTTACTTTAAATTTTCTTTATGTTTAACTTATAGACTATAAAATGTTACTTTTCTACATTACTACTATTATTATTACTATTATTATTACTCATTTCCACGTTGTTTTGAATGTTCGACGGTTAGTATTTGATTACGACAACTAAAACAACGGCTACAACTACAATCACTCATTGAAAATTAAAATAAATAAAAAATTTAATAATAATCACGTGGAGAAGAGAGTGGGAGGCGGGAAAGGGAAGGAGGGAAATGGAGGAAGAGAAAGAGGGGGCGGAGCTTAAAAAATAAACAAAAAATTTTTTCCCTAACTTTTCTTTTTTTCCTTTTTATTTTATTTTATTCCATTAAAGTCACGTAAAAAAAAGTTTATGTATATATATATATATATATATATATATATATATATATATATATAGAAAATAAAAGGAAATAATTTAAGAGAAAACTAGAAAATCATTTTAACAATGATAAATAAAACCTTTTTCAAGAGTTTTCGGTCAAAAATAAACAAATTTCGAGAAAAAAAAGGAAAAAAAGGAGTTACGACGACGTTCGGATAACTATTATTATTATTATTATTCTCATACTCATATATACATATTCGATTCGTTATAAAAAAAAAATTTCATTCAAAAGTCGATATTAAAATCAACCTTTAAATTTTTTTTTTTTTTACATATATTGGACATCAACGTGATTTTAAAAAATATGACGTCATAACATTTCCTTTGTAACATTCGATGGACGAAATCCATCGATATTATAATAAGATTTATTATTATTTTTTTTTTAATTGTTAAACCGTTGTTTTGAATTTATTTTAAGCGGTTTTCGCGGTTTTTTTTTTTTTAAATTATTTCTTCTGCTGTAATAATTTAAAATTTAACGGGTAATAATTTATTTGCTTCGGCCACATAAAACTTGTTTTAGAAAAAAAAAAAAAAAAAAAACCATTCGAATCGTTTTTTTTTTTTTGCGGGTTTTAATTTCGTTATTCCTTTCGTAATTAAATTTAATAAATGATAATGACAATAATATATTTAATAAATTTTTTTTTTGTATTGAAATAAATAAAATACGTAGTAGAAAAAAAAAATTTTTTTTGGTTTTCTGCGTGGAAAAAAAAATGACCGACATAATTTTCTATTTATAAAAAAAAAAAGGGTCGATGTTTTTGGCAGGATTTGACATGGTAAAGTGGTTTTCCACAGCCATTGTTTTTTTTTTTTTTTACGGCTGAATGTTCTTTTAATCGTTTTTTTTCTTCTTCTACCATCACCACCACCACGATACGTCTCTCTTTCTCTCTCTCATTTCATCTTTCCTTTCCCTCCCCCCCTCATTCCCCGCCTTTTGTTCATACATAAAGGTTTCAGACCTGTCACTGATAATTTAGTGATGCCAGTTTAATGGATTGAAAATTTATTACTTTCCTAATGGCGAAGACTATTTTCTCAAAAAAAAAAATCTTTAAAAATAAAAAGAAAAAAAAACCAAAAACGAAAAATCTTTCGTTCGAGATAAATAATTACCTTTTTTTTGTAAAAAAAAATAACACCGGATAATTAATTGGCCGAAACAGGACCGTAAATAGTACGAAATTCGAAATTTTTTTTTTTAATTTTTTTAATTCGAATCAAAAAAAAAAAAAAATTTTTTTAGAAGGAAAACTCATATATTTTTATGTAATATATCAGGTAAAAAAAAAAAATAGGACGTCGAAAACCTTATGTTGTTTTCAATAATAATAATAATAATAATAATAATAATAATAATAATAATAATAATAATAATAATAAACGATTAGAGAGTAGCGAATTTAATATAAAAAAAAAAAAAATCGGTTTAAAATCTCGCCGAAAACGATTTTGATTTTCTTTTTTTTTTTTTTTTTCGTCTGCTATTTTTAATACGTAAAAAAAAAAAAAAAATCGTTGTAAAGAGTGGGTTTTGAAGCGAGTGAGAGAGAGAGGGAGGAAGGAAGAGAGGTGGGGGTGGAAAGGAAGGAGTAAGAGAGAGAAATCGAAAGAGTATAAGGGATACAAGAAAAAAAAAAAAAAAACGTGGCGGAAGAAGGGCGTGAGAGAGAAAGAGAGGGATAGGTGAGGGGTGAGAGGTGAGAGGGGAAAGTGGAGGCGGGGGTGGAAGGAAGGGAAAAGTTTTTTTTATTTATATTATTTCGAAAAAATTAAGATTTATTAAAAAGTTTTTCTCATCGAAAAGTCTAATTAACTCTAGTAAATCATTTACATCGTTGTTTATTAAATAAACTTTTACAAAGCGGATTTTAATAAATTACAATAACAACATCGTTTGTTTTAAATTTTTTTTCCTTCCTCCTTTTCTTCTTTTTTTCCTTTTCTTTCCTTTTTTTCCTTTCATTTTTTTTTTTTAATAATAAAAACAAACGAGAAAATACCTGTCTAAACAAATTTAATTATTAATTTTATAAAAAAGAAAAAATTAAATGGTATCAGTTTCCGAGAATTAATAATAATATTAATAATACATAATGTTTTAATAAAAATTTTTTTTTAATATAATAATAATAATTACACGAATGATTTATATTAATAATTATAATATTCTCGTCCAACGGGCGGGAAGGGGAAGAGAAGAAATCACCGCGAAAAATATTCGTTAATTTTTTTTTTCTCTTTCGAGTTTAAACGTGTACAAAAACTGGAACGGATTTTATATATACTATCGTAGACCGCTGGATAAGTCGTGTGTGATGATGAAAATAGTAATAATAATAATAACGATGATGATGATAATAATTGAATAAAATATCGAAAGAAAATAAAGCCTCGAGGAATTATCGAATTTACAACAAAAAAAAAAAATATTGAAGATGGAATTAAAAAAATTTTCCAGTCAGCAATAAAAAAAAAAAAAATTTTTTTTCTTCTCCTTTTTTTTTTTCCATCGTATTTGAATTATTGAATTTAGATTGGTTTAAAGCAAGAAAAAAAAAAAATAATAATAATAATCAATTTTTTTTTTTGTATTTTGTCCGATTTGTCGATGTCGGAAATAAATTTTTTTTCTCCGTCCCTTTTTTTTTTTATTAATTTTTTTTTTTTTTAAAAAAATAAATAAGTTAATTTGAAATAAAAATGGCAACGTTGCATATTAAAAAAAAACGTCTGCTCTTGTAAATAATAATTGAAATCGTTTAATATTCTCATGTTCGTTTGTCATATTTTTAAAAAAAAAAAAAAAAGAAGAAGGAGTTATTATTAATAATTGAAAACGGTGTAATAAATTTATAATTAAAATTATGAATCCGTTCCGTGAAAATTTTCCATCGTGTTTGTTTATTCTGGAGAAAACAAACAAGGATTCTCTCGCTGGAAAATTTATACATTCGATATTAAAACAAGAGTTTACATATAAAATGAAAGTGTTAATTTGTCACAAAACAAGAAAGACTCGAAATGACAAATGAATGAAATGATATTGTCTGCTTGTGTGTGTGTGCATGTTTAATAATTTTAAATGTAACTAAAAAAACTGGAACGACGTTATCACGATGATAATAATAATAATATAAGACATAATATTATCAAAAAAAAAATTTTTAATTCCAGATTTGTGTGAAAACCTGGAATTATTTTTATTTTTTTTAATTATTTAGAATTGCAACGATTCGTTTTTCCTTTTTCATTGGCTCTAAACAAAGTTTATGAAAAATCGTCAGTCGTCATCGATGAATGAGTGACGTCATCTGCTCACGTGATCTCCGTAAAAAAAAAAAAAAAAAAAAAAAAAATTTGAAACTTTTTTTTCGAATTTAAAAATAAATTTTAAAAAATCCACCATAAAATTAAAATGTACTATTTTTCTCTTTTTCGCTTCTCTGCCCTCTTCTCCCCGGCCCCCGTTCTTCCCCCCACGTGTCGTTTTTTTTTACTTCCCTCTTTCATTATCATTTTTACTCCTTCTTCTACTTCCTTCTGGATTAAAACCGATACGATTCGATTCTGTCATTTTGGATAAATTAACGAAAACGAATTCAAATGTTTTGCACATGAGATGTTTTGAAATGAAACCCTCTAATATTAAACGACGTAATAATAATAATAATAATAATAATAATAATAATAATACTAATAATAATAATAATGATGATGATGATGACGATGATGACAATTCGGAAAAAAAAAAAAATTTATTTTAATAACTTTTTAAAATAATGTAAAAAAAATCATTAGAAAGGTTATAGGAAAAGGTTACAATTAAATTAATAACTTTTATAACATTAATAATAATAATAATAATAAATTAAATCAACGTAAAGAAGTTAAAGAAAAACGAAAAAAAAGAAAATTCCCGACAAACTATTTTAATTTCCATAAAAAAAAAAGAGAAGAAAAGGAAGAAAGGAAGGAAGAAAGGAAGAAAAACATTTTCGGTATTGATTCAACCTGGAATTCATTTTTCGAATTGCAAATTGAAATGATGTTCGGAATGAAAAAAAAAAAAAAAAGGATGCCGAAGAAATGTTAAAGGCGGGAACCGGGATGTGTAGCGGGGGCGTTACGACAGAGAGGGAGAGAGCGAGAGGGGGAAAGGATTCAAAAGGGATGATTGGATCAAAAGGTATATATAATCCACACCTGGTTGAATTTTTATTGCTGTAGTTAAAGGTTTTGATTATTATATATTCCGAACAAATTTTTTTTTTATTTTCCTGTACGAATAAAATCATTTTAAAATTGTCAATATATTATCTTCTGCTTCTAATAATAATAATTATTATTATTATTTTCTTTTAATTAATTCAATATATTTATTTATCTTACGTAAATATTTCGATAA